AACTGGTTACTTCCTAACGCCATACACGTGACAGATATTGTCTTTCGTTTGCTGTCGGCAGTTTACATAGATATAGATTTTGATTAAAGATTACATCTGGTCGCCATAGAGATTTATTGACTGGTGCCCTCTGGTCACCTTTCACATATATTAACTTTGGTTACCTCTGGTCACCTAACACAGATATTAACTTCGGTTATCTCTGGTCACCCTACTCATATATTGACTTAGGTTGCCTCTGGTCACCCTTCACATAAAATGACTTTATAACCTCTTTTCCTACTAAGTTATTGACCTGAGTTACCCCCGCACAATTATCAAACTTGTTAACTTGTAGGCAGTTCACACATATACAGATTTGGGTTACATTTGTCCCCTACAGATTTATGGACTGGTGCCCTCTGGTCACCCCTTCCCATTTATTGACTTTCTCTACATTTGGTCACCTTACATAGTAATTGACTTTTGTAACCTGTGGTCATCTTACACATATATTGATTTTAGTTAACTTTAGTCAGGTGACAAAGTTATGAACTTTGGCTAGCTCTGCGACATTTAAACAGATATATATTCTTTGATTAAATCTGGTCACCCTACGCATATTGTCTTAGTTAACATTCGCTTACCTTACAAATATATTGACTGGTTACATCTTGTCGCCCTTCACTGATAGTGACTTTGGTTGACCTCTGGTCACCCTACATAGTTTCTGACTTACTCTGCTAACCCTACACATATGTTGATATTAATTACCTCATGTCATTCTGTAACTTGTAAATCTTTATTACCTCTTTGCAATTTAAACGGTTATAGACTTAAATAATATGGCACCTATTGTTTATATAATATTGACTGCGGCTACTTCTGGTCACCCTACCCAAATATTGTGATCTTCTGTGCTAAACAAGATTGCACTTCTGTTTTCGTAGAATTCCAAAATTTAAAAGAAACTTAATTGATGTCATTTGTTTCAGGTATTATTATTTGTATTACTTTGATTGTTAAAAATGATTATTTATTTAAAGCATTTTTGGAAACTATATGGGATTCATGGAAAGGAAATGCTGACGAAAAGTTTGGTACGGTGTATGGGAATGTTCTTTACGTATCGGATTTAATGAGCTTAAAAATAGAGGAGGAGTTGAATGATCAGGTAACAGTACTAATGGTTTAATTTATGTAATAAAGGTTAAACGTTTTCAAAGATCTTGAACTCTCCTCTGAAACTACTGAACCAATTCCAACCAAACGTAAGCTTAATCATCCTTAGGGTATCTAAAATAAAATTAAATCTGACATTGGTGAAAAGGTTCATTAGGTAAAGCATTTTCAGACAAATAAAACTACCCATTGTTTGGTTGATGCCACTAAATTGCTAATTTTTGTGACCCCTTAAAGAGTTACTGGCCTGTAAGTAATTGTGTTTTCTTTTATGCCAAGAAATATAGTCACTATGGCTTAATAGCATATTGGTTTAAAATGCATTGTTTTGCCATTGAAGAAAATATGACAGATACCAAAAAAAATTAAATACCAATTTGACAATGTAAGCACTACTTTATTTCCATTGAAAAGCAGAAATAATCATTGATGAAAGATTTAACAACAAAAAAAATGCAGGTAAGTCATTCAGGTTTTTGGAGGTCTTTTGATTTTATTTAGTTCTATAAAATGTACAAGGATTTTTTTAAATAATCTGTCTTAAACTGATAACATAATCATGGTACTTTATGTTATGTGTTATCTTGATCAAACTTGTATGTCTTCACCTTTGTGATATTTAGTTTTGTTGATGGTTTCCTTTGTATCATACTGATTGAAAAGATCTGACCATATCATTTTCTTTTTTTTTTCAGATAATTAATCTTTATTGTAGTGTACTGCAAAAACGGACGGATCAGTGTGTACAGGTAAACGAATTAAAAGTATTTATTTAATAACCGTTTTATCATATTTCAGTGCATTTATTTTAGAGTTGACTGATTTTTTCATCGGCTACTTTAAAGCATGCTTATTTTTTTGTAACTTCCAGGATCAATTCATTTAATTTCGCTTTTTCTACATGATCCATTCCTCCATTAAGGGTATCTGAATTATCATTCTAAACTTGTTTTATGCATTTTTTATTCATTTCCAATTTCACCAAAGTAAACTGTGTATTGTAAAAGTTACTTTCGCACCCACCACCCTTTTTGCAGAGAATGAAATATTTGTTCCATTAAATCATCTTTTATTTTTTCCCTTTTATATAACTTAAGGTCTTTCTACCTTTCGGTTGAAAGACTTTTAGCTTTACTTAAGGATTATAATTATTATCATTATTTTGATATTATTATTTATATTTTGTTCGCCTTTTTTAAGTTGAGCTATTATTTTTAACAGATGTAGCTTTGACTTTGTTTTATATGATATCGTACAGCTTATGAGCTTTCGCCATTGCCCTAACGAAGACTTTTTACTCTCATTAATAGAGTTACCTCCCCAATCTCGATTTTGCGTGTAGATACATCTACTGCGATATTTTATTAGTTTACTCAATTACTCGTTACACCCTTATGATGTCATATATTATTTAACCGAAGCTATCTGGATATTCCTTATAAGAGTTATATCCCATTTGGAATTATCGTTAAGGAAATATATGCACAACTCATTAACTATGAGAAAAATGAATTTACTTTTATTCCTCGTATTTTTGATGGGTAATTTCATACTGACTTTGAAGAAGTATTGAACCAGGCAAGAAAAACCTTATATAATTTCACGTTCCGATGTAATAGAAACAGTTAAATAAATCCAATGTTCTTGTCACACAATTTGTTTTATACATATTTCCGTTTTCCAGAAAGTGTCCCGTGCAGATTGTCTGATTCTGACCTCAATTTTTGAAGGGAGGAAAAGCGTAACTTGGTTTAAAAAGGTATAATACTATATAATCATCTGTTATAAACTCTTTTTATATAAGTGCTTTTGATTTACACATAGATTACTCTTTTTACAGCTAAAAGCTGGATATTACCAATTCGCCTTTCACGTTTTAACAAAATAATAAGACATTCTAACATATTGATGATATATGTAAATTATCAAATGATAAATAATAAAACAATATGCTAAATATTGTATTGTGTATGGTATTATATTGCTGTTTATAAAATGTATTTAATGTTTCATCGGTCTTTTTTTTATCAGTTTGCAAGTTAATAATAACATTTTACAATACTTTTTTAGGACGATATACAACAGTATGACACTGTCATTGGGTGCATTAATGACGGGAAGTGTCATTGGGTTGCTGTGGTAGGTTTATTTGCTCAATTAATGTTATTAATTACACTATTCAGGCATTTTTCCATGAGGTTATAAGTTAATAGAAAAATGAGTTGCAAGAACAGCATTTCAGACATTTCGTTGAGTTTTTAGTCATGTTAGTTGTTCTTCTATAACTTAATTCAACTTACTTGACTTAATATATATATTTTCTCATACATTTTTCCAACTGATTTTGCACTCATTTATATGAAAGCATTTATACTGCATGGAAATGATAGTTAGAAAAGAAATATCAGATATAAAATATTGGCTTCTTCGTATAGAATATTATCAAATATTTGCTTCTGAACATTGAGCAACAACCAGTAATTAAGCAAAATATTTATTTTTTTATAAATGTTAATGTAAACAGATTTAAGTATGTGAAATTAAAAAGAGAGAATAATTTTTGTTTCAGGTTATGGATGTCCAACACCATATTGTGACAATTATGGACCCGCTCAAAATATCAAAGAAATTGAGAACATATGAAAAGAATTTCAAGTAAGATTGAAACTGTAGTTACATGACAGTCGTTTATTGCTTTAATGCATGCGATTTGTTTCAAAGTAAATTTTTATTTCTGTGTTTGATATATATACTTAAAAAAAAGTTTATAATTCTGAAATTTTCAGAAGTGAGTCACAAGTTATAAGGACAAATCTAGAGAAATATAATTTGTTAATCTAAAATGAAAATTACTTCTGGTTGATACTGGAATTGAACTATAATTGTATTATTGATTGCACAGCTTTGTAAATTGAATATAGCAGTAAGAACTGAAGACCAGTTATTTTTTTCCAAACGTTGTTGATATCAACTTTAAAACAGCTGCAATTATTTGTTTTCCTACATTAGAAAGGTTGGTCAAATGAACGGTTTTCTATGGAATGTGCAATATCTCCTTAAGTATCATACATCTAGCTAGACATGTAAGTTCTATGATACAGTCCGGGGTAAGGCAATGGCTGGCATTATGGCTATAGCCAGCTTGACTTTTTAATATATATCAATTTTAAGTAACACATTTTTCTTTTCATATTATATTATGTAGCTACTTCACTAAAAGCAGAGATCTTGGTACATGGACAATCTGTACAGCAGTTGGGTATCCTCTGCAAAATGATTTTAGCTCATGTGGTGTTTATTGTTTGAAGGTACATAAAACATTGGGCTTTGCATGTATGAATTGAGAGTTAATAAATGAAAGTTCAATTGAAGCTTGAATCTTAAATCAATGATATATATTTACTAATAAAGATCACAATTTTGCACGTAAAAGACACCCTTGTTGATTTTGAAAAAAAGGCAGAATCGTACAAACAAGATGAACAAAATATTGTTGTAAGTTGTAAACAACTTGTTTCCCAAACCTGTTTATTTAAATATGTGTAAACAATAACTTGGAATATATATCATGTAAACTATTTCGGTAAAATCCGCAAAGCACAAAGGTTGTGTGAAATTTAACCAAATCTATGATTTGCATAAATTACTTTAAATGTAATGGAAAGAAAAACAAATAAATATGTGGTACTTTTAATTTACCTTTTGTAAAAAAAACATTTTTATATCATTATTAGGCCTACATGAATCATTTCAGTAATTTAAACATTCAGTTTTGAACAGGCCATAGAAAATTTACAAAACAATGTGTACATTTAAGAATTATTTTTTTAGTTCCTCGACCGATACGTAAGTAAGACAGATACATCTTTGGAATTAAACGTCCAAGCTGAAAGATTCACAATTGGCAGTGAAATTGTTCAAGCTGTGCGTAAGTAATCAATAGAATAAAAGCATTTACTAATAGTACCGTATGTTATGTAAATACTTAATATCTTCTTGCTAGACAATAAGTGAATCTAATAAAAAGGGAATATGAATTTTAACATGTTCAATAATGTGTTTGAAATCCTTTTCTTTGATGTTTATCTCAATTCATTGATGATTTGTTTTTAATTTTATCTATTGTTTCTGACCAAATTTCTTTACGCTATAAATGATGTATTTATGTTTCTTTAATGTATTATTCATTATTGATATGTTATACTTAAAAATGTAGTTTGGAAAAAAATAGCTTAATAATTCCGGTTGTTTTCTGTAATAATTTCTCTCTTTTTTCTACAGCTCAAACTGTACTTATTTTTATGATATTCTATGTCTTATATATGTATGATAATGTGCTGTTGTCAAATATTACGATCTTATTAATGGAAATATAAACATGGAAAGTAGATGTTTAAAAATCAACTAGTTTTTGTAGGTCTAATTAAGTTAGCCGATATATTTATGCGATTGTCTTCTTCATATAAACTGCCGCTGTCATCAATGAGCATCACCATCATAATTACCATCTACGGGAAGGAACGTAAAAAATAACATCAACCAAGTGTAAACATTTTCAATTTTATGACTTATTATCAGCTGCTGCAATTTGTGATTTGGAGCAGAAGAATGTTGTTCCTAATTCATGTTAACATCTATTTCTATTTTACTATAGAAACAAAAGGTGCTGTTATGACATGCTTCTTGTGTGCTAAAGAACCAACTAACATGGTAAATATACATTTATAGATCGTTGATGTTCAACTTAACAGGGTGCTTTATTATTTTTATTGCTTATTTAAATACGTTTTATGGTTAAAATTGATAATTTTTTAACAGAACCTTGTGATATTGTAGGTTAGAATATAAATGTTTTTTTTTATATCAATTTGATGAACTTTCACTAATATTAACATTTTTCGCAATAACTACATTAATTCATAGAATTTGAACATGTCTATTAAATATTGCAGAGAGCATGTTCATGCTGTAAAAGGAATTTCCACAAAAAGTGTATGACTCCAGGACTATGCAGTCTGTGCTCAATTTTTCCACCTGGTGAGTGCAATAGAAAATTCTACCATTTCTAATTTTTTTTTAAAGTAATACAATGAAATAGAATTTAATTTGCAAGGACAAAATGCGATATAACAAAATTGTAGAATGATCATTGTTCTTCCATTTGTTCAATAATTCTATAAGTTGCGTTTAATTTCATAACAGAAGTCGACTTATTAATTTTTGTAGATATATTCATGTTGATATTTCTTACATTTTTTATAGATTGCACTAAATGAACTTATTCTAAGATATCTTTGAAATCCAAAGATTTGTTGTTCTCACATTCAGACTCACATGGTAAAGGCAGACGTTTAATGTTCCCCCTCATGACTTAGTTGATTAATACAGAATGACGCTGGCATAGGTACCGTTTGCTTAGTGCACACTACTTTTTAAGTCTTCTTTAAATATTGTCTTTTCAAATGATTTTGTTATATAACTTGTCAGTTTCTTGTTTGCATTGTATAAGCTGTTGGATTTTATTTATTTTTTTGTTTCTTATATACAGATGTATGGTAATGTATAAAATACTGTGAACTTTTAGTTTGGTGTGCTTTATCCTAAATCTGTACGCTTCAAATATAATCAATGTGTAGTCAATATGCCACTACTTTTACATATTATAGTTCTCACTTAATGTTCTGCTTGACACAATAATTACAATTTCCTTATTTATTATCTCTGCTGTGAAGTCATGTATCTTTATCACAACTTCATTTCTATCCTGTATCAATTTTACATTACATTATAATCAATGATAGATAAACATAAATGCATGCAGAAAAAATAATAAAGCATGCTTCTGAATTAATTCCTATGAATATATATAATTCACACAGTTTTCGCTAGAAGTAAGTTCACGTTAAGCTATTAATTTTTTTATGTTTCACCCACACTTATTTAAAAGCACTAAATGGTTCGTGTTGTTCAAGGTAATCTATACTTGACAGAGATTTTGATATCTATAATTGGTTCATCAAGACTACAGATGATTGTTGCATAACATTTTAAATGTTTATTCATTGAAAACACTTAACCATCGAATTTTCTTCCTGATCATCTAAAAAAAATTAACGAACTTGCAAAAATTGTCAAGAACATTCACAATTAAAAATCGGGTCAATTTATGCTTGTTCTCACTTGATACTTCTGAATAAATCAATTGATTTCCTTATACAATTATTATATTTTTATCTTCTTTTTTCAGAAGTCCATACAAATTTTAGATGAGAATGGTATGAATGCATTTAATTTGTTGATTAAATCAATTAATATGATGGATAATACCTTATGCAGATTTCAGATTTTGTTAACTCTGATCAACTAATGCAAATATTGAATTTGGTTACCTCTGGTTATCTTATGCAAAAAAGTATTGTATTACCTCTGGTCAACCTATGCAATTATTGGATTTGATTACCTCTGTTAGTTTATGCAAATAGCGGCTTTTGTTACATCTGGTCAACTTATGCTAAAATAGTATTCGGTTAACTCTGGTTACCTTCTGCAAATATTTGAATTGTTACCACTGGTCACCTTCCGCATATAGGATTTGGTTACATCTGGTCATCTTACGCATATATAGGATTTGGTTACCTCTGTGTACCTTATGCAGATAATTGATTTGGTAACCTCTTGTCACCTAATGAAGATAACGGATTTGGTTACTTCAGGTCAACTTATGTAAATATTGGAATACGTTCATCTAGTCACCTATGCTGATATTGGATTTGGTTACCTCTGGTCACCATATGTATTTATTGGATTTGCTAGCTCTTGTCACATAATGTAAATATTAGGTTTTGTTACCTCTGCTCACCTTACCGCGATATTGCATCTGAATACTTGTGGTCACCTTGAGAGTGGTTTGTATGCATTTAATTTATTGTATTAAACCTTTAATATGATAGATATGTACACAAAGTTCATATAATGCTGCAACTAATATTCTTTTTGAACTTAAAACTTGCAATCGTTTATGGTAATGGCCACTTAGGCTTAGTTGAACAAATCATTTTTTGTTTCTTGATTACCTTACACAAATATTTAATTTTGATTACATGTGGTCATTTTTACCAGAAATTAGATCTGTTAACCTCTGTTTGCCTTACTACAACGGGGTTACTTCTGGTCACCTTATTCATATATTGGATTTGGTGACCTCTGGTCACCTTATGTTAATAACGGGTTTGGTTACCTCTGGTCACCTTATTCATATATTAGATTTGGTTATCTCTGGTCACCTTATGGAAATACTGGATTTGGTTACCTCTGGTCACCTAATGCAGATTTCAGATTTGGTGACCTCTGGTCACCTTATGTTAATATTGGATTCGGTTACCTCTGGTCACCATATGCATATTTTAGATTTGGTTATCTCTGGTAATTAACATTTACATACAACTAGTTGATGTTTTTCATTTCATTTGTAGAAAGTTTTAGACAATCAAAGAAAGACAAAAAAGAAGAAGAACAGGTTTGATATACATTATGGATTCAACAAGAATATAGAATATTATTACATTAAGTTTAATATACCGATAAACTTTACACATTGATCATTATCTTTCATGATCATCTACAAACAAATTTAAGAAAAATCATTGATCTTTCAAACATTGCCAAAAACACTGACAGTTGATAATTAAATAAAAATAATACTGATCCTCATTAGATATTTTTGGATAAATAAAATTGAATTTACTAATACAATTATCATATGTTTATCTTCTTTTTTCAGGAGTCCTCAGAAAATGTAGATGAGAGTGGTATGTATGCATTTAATTTATTGTATCAAACTTTTAATATGATGGAAACATACACTATGTTTATATAATGCTGCAACTATTATTCTTTTTGAACTTACAACTTGCAATCGTTTCTGGTCAAATGGCCACTTAGGCTCGATTGAACTAATAATTTTTTTTGTTTCTTGATTACCTTACACAAATATTTAAGTTGATATCATGTGGTCATCTTAGCCAGAAATGGGATTTGTTAACTTCTGTTGGCCTTAATATGCTAGAATGGGGTAACTTCTAGTCACCTTATTCATATATTGGATTTGGTTACCTCTGGTCACCTTATGTTAATATTGGATTTGGTGACCTCTGGTCACCTTATGTAGTTTTCAGATTTGGTTATCTCTGGTAAATAACATTTGCATACAACTAGTTGATGTTTTTCATATCATTTGTAGAAAATTTGAGACAATCAAAGAAAGACAAAAAAGAAGAAGAACAGGTTTGATATACATTATGGATTCAACAAGAATATAGAATATTATTACATTAAGTTTAATATATTGATAAAACTTTACACAATGATCATTATCTTTCATGCTCATCTACAAACAAATTTAAGAAAAATCATTGATCTTTAAAACATTGCCAAGAACACTGACAGTTGATAATTAAATAAAATAAAACTGATCCTCATAAGACACTTTTGGATAAATAAAATTGAATTTACTAATACAATTATCATATGTTTATCTTCTTTTTTCAGAAGTCCTCAGAAAATGTAGATGAGAGTGGTATGTATGCATTTAATTTATTGTATCAAACCTTTAATATGATGAAAACATACACTATATTTATATAATGCTGCAACTATTATTATTTTTGAACTTGAAACTTGCAATCGTTTCTGGTAAAATGGCCACTTAGGCTCGATTGAACTAATCATTTTTTTTGTTTCTTGATTACCTTACACAAATATTTAAGTTGATATCATGTGGTCATCTTAGCCAGAAATGGGATTTGTTAACTTCTGTTGGCCTTAATATGCTAGAATAGGGTAACTTCTAGTCACCTTATTCATATATTGGATTTGGTCACCTCTGGTCATCTTATGGAAATATTGGATTTGGTGACCTCTGGTCGCCTTATGTTAATATTGGATTTGGTTACCTCTGGTCACGTTATACAGTTTTCAGATTTGGTTATCTCTGGTAAATAACATTTGCATACAACTAGTTGATGTTTTTCATATCATTTGTAGAAAATTTGAGACAATCAAAGAAAGACAAAAAAGAAGAAGAACAGGTTTGATATACATTATGAATTCAACAAGAATATAGAATATTATTACATTAAGTTTAATGTACCGATAAAACTTTACACAATGATCATTATCTTTCATGATCATCTACAAACAAATTTAAGAAAAATCATTGATCTTTCAAACATTGCCAAGAGCACGGACAGTTGATAATTAAATAAAATAAAACTGATCCTCATAAGATACTTTTGGATAAATGAAATTGAATTTACTAATACAATTATCATATATTTATCTTCTTTTTTCAGAAGTCCTCAGAAAATGTAGATGAGAGTGGTATGTATGCATTTAATTCATTGTATCAAACTTTTAATATGATGGAAACATACACTATATTTATATAATGCTGCAACTATTATTCTTTTTTAACTTGAAACTTGCAATCGTTTCTGGTAAAATGGCCACTTAGGCTCGATTGAACTAATCATTTTTTTTGTTTCTTGATTACCTTACACAAATATTTAAGTTGATATCATGTGGTCATCTTAGCCAGAAATGGGATTTGTTAACTTCTGTTGGCTTTAATATGCTAGAATGGGGTAACTTCTAGTCACCTTATTCATATATTGGATTTGGTTACCTCTGGTCATCTTATGGAAATATAGGATTTGGTGACCTCTGGTCACCTTATGTTAATATTGGATTTGGTTACCTCTGGTCACCTTATGTAGTTTTCAGATTTGGTTATCTCTGGTAAATAACATTTGCATACAACTAGTTGATGTTTTTCATATCATTTGTAGAAAATTTGAGACAATCAAAGAAAGACAAAAAAGAAGAAGAACAGGTTTGATATACATTATGGATTCAACAAGAATATAGAATATTATTACATTAAGTTTAATGTACCGATAAAACTTTACACAATGATCATTATCTTTCATGATCATCTACAAACAAATTTAAGAAAAATCATTGATCTTTCAAACATTGCCAAGAGCACGGACA